ATATTGTAATAACTAAATATGGTGTCAAATGGGTATTAGACTTATTGGGGTGATCACTTTGTAAATTATATGAGTGTCTAATCACTGTGTTGCACCTGGAACTAATATAAAGGGCACCAAAAAAATGTATATATATTTAAGAAAGGAAAAAACTGTATTAAAAATACGCTGATGGTAACCACTTTGAGCACCTCCTGTAATTGCAGAAGTCAAATGTGACTTGCATTCATCTTTTGTGATTGGTATATGTTGAGTATTACAATTTTAATACAGTTTTTTTCCTTTCTTAAAATGTATATATATTTTTGGCATCCTCTGTGTAATATTAAATGTCAACTTTAATTTATGATTTTTTTTTAAAAATTAGAAAATACCAGTGGAGGTAAATGTACTTAACTTGGGAGAGGATGGAGTGGGCAATAGCTTCATTCTGAGCATGGGAGCCCACCATTTACCAATATAGATGAATGCAAAGTTGGAGGTGTGGATGTCCAATTGTCCCTTTCCTCCAGAGAGGCAATTACTAAGAATTTGCTGTAAATCCTACCCTTTCACTTTGCAGAGGGATCCGGGGCCCAGAGTAGTCAAACAAGTTACTTGAGGCCACATAGCTCGTCAGTGCAACTTTGGCCCTTCAGTCTGGGTCTCCAGACTCCGAGTCCAGTGTTCAGGAAACGGTGGCTCCCTCTCTCGCTTCACAGTGTGCCGGACCCGACCAACTTTTGTCATTTATGATGTCCCATAGAGGCTATTTCTCTGTCTTTATTTTTCCCCCTCTTCTCCTAAAGTATTGTCTTTAGACTCCAAGTCACCTGTCATCTGTGCCCACTGGCTCTGCTGGCCTTTGGGTAATGCACACAGAGGCTGAGCAATATTGCAGCTCCCCCAACTCCATCTTCAGGCAGAGGTGGGTGGGCTATTAACTTGCATGTATCTATTGGTTTTTCAGCTCTACTTTTTTACATTTTTTCATGGTTACTCTNATGTGAACATGACATTTGAGATACTCTGTTCAGAATGTATAACCTGGGTCTCATCATGAGGAAATATCAGATTAACTAAAATTGAGGCACATTCTATTAAACACCTGGCCTATGATCTTCAGAAATTTCAAAGTCGTAAAAGTCAAGGAAACTGAGCAACTGTTCCATATTGAAAGGGATTAGAGAGGTATGATAATAGGATATTAAGAAGGCAGTAGATGGCCTCAAGAGGGCATTTCTGGGACAATTGTAGACAGTTGGAATGGGGTATCTGGGCGAAGAGTATACAGACATTCTTTGTGGTATTCTGGCAGCTTTTCTAGAGATTTGAACTGTTTCAAAAAAAAATTTGTTTTGAAAACATTTACCCTGGCTACAGTGTGGAGGATGGGTGGGAGAGGCAACAGTAGAAGCAAGAAGAGGTGTCACGAGGCTATACGGTGGTGGGGATGTGTGCATGAAACCCAGGGGAGTAACATGAAAGGACTTGATAGTAGTTGATGCTTAGGGATGAAGGTGACAGAAGTTTAAGGATGATACCCAATATCTGACCTGTGTCTCTGGATGGATGATGGTGCCATTCTCTGGAGTGGGGACGCTGGAAAGGAACTGGTTGAAGTAGTAGGAAGCTTTGGAGTAGATTGTAGGTTTAGTTTAGAACAGTGTTTCTCAAATTTGGGTGGGTATCAGATTCACCTGGAGAGCTAATAAGAAACCCAGAGACAGACTCATTGAGTCAGAGTAGGGTGTGGGCCTTCGCATTGTTATCAAGATTTCCCAGGCGATTCTGATACCTATGAAAATTTGAAAGGCACTTGTTTAGAACATTTGGATTTTTATGTGCTGGTAGACTATCAGAGTAGAGCTCCTTAATAGGTGGCTGGATATATGCAGTGGGAGCATGGAGGAGAAACCCAAATGCAGATGTGTATTTAGGAGTCATTGACATAAAGACAGGAATCAAAACAGTGGGTGTCCATATACAAGAATAAATTCAAAATGGATTAAAGACTTAAATGTAAGACCCGAAACCATAAAATTCCTAGGAGAAAACTCAGGCAGTAAACTCTTTAACATCGCTCTTAGTAATATCTTTTTGGATGTGTCTCCTCAGGCAAGGGAAACAGAAGAAAAAATAAACAAATGGGACTGTATTGAACTAAAGAATTTTTGTACAGTGAAGGAAACCATCAACAAAATGAAAAAACAACCCATTGAATGGGAGAAGATATTCACTGATGATACATCAGATAAGGGGATAATATTCAAAATATATAAGAACACCAAAAAGATAAGCAACTCAATTAAAAAAATGGGCAGAGGACTTAAATAGATATTTCTCCAAANCTGTAGAGAGCACAGCATCACTGGCCCTCATGTGGGATCTGAACCGGGGCCCTGCTGCTCAGAGCTGGCATCCCAAGCCAACTCTTAACCAACGCACCACTCGGCCAGCCCTAGGAAGACTTTTTATATTAGGGATGCTAACCCTTTGTCTGCCATATGATACAATTAGCTCCTCCTCCCCCATCTGCTTTTTTTGGTTACTGTTTATGATATCCTTTGGCTTCCAAAAGTGGTTAATATTCATGTAGTCAAAAATATCTATGTTTTCCTTCTATGTCTTCTTGGGTTTTCCGGTTTGTTTTAAAAGATCTCTTCACTCCAAAGTTATAAAATGCTTTTTTTCAACTTCCTGTACTATTCATCAGGGGTTTTGTTCTATATTTAAATATTTAATAGACCTGAAATTTATTTATTTTCCCCAAGATTTTATTTTGAAAAATTTCAAGCACACAGGGTACTTGATAGAATTTTTACAGAGAACAGTCATGTACCCACCAAGTAAATTCTAGAATTAATATCTTGCTATGTTTGGTTTACCATATGATTATCCATCTCTCTCTCCATTTATCCCTCTGTCTTATTTTGTTGATGCATTTCCAGATAAGTTGTAGACATCAGTACATATCACCCCTAAACACTTGCATACAACTGGGTATCCCAAACTCCTATCATGACACAGAACATTCACACTGAGACGTTATCTTTTGTCCTTCCCCAGTCAATTCCCAACCCCACACCACTCCCAGAGGCAACCACTATTCTGATTTTTTTTCAACCATAGGTTTGTTTTACCTGTTCTACAACTTCACTTAAGTGGAATCATACACATATGTTGTGTCTGGCTACTTTCACTTAGCATTCTCTTTGTGAGATTCGTTCATATTGTTGTATGAAGCAATAGTTTGCTCCTATTTATTGTAGTATTCATTGCCTATTTATCCATCTCTTGTCCATAGGCTCAAGGGCTATTCTCAAATTTGCTTTTGAATATGTATTAGGTATATACTCTTACTCTGTTCTCATCCAGGTGAATAGATCATCATGCTAACACCACTTCTTAAATACATTGTCCATTTTTTATTGAATCACGTGTCATCCTTGTCATATATTAAGTTCCTTATATGAACTATGTTTTGATTCTCAATTCTGCTCCATCGATCTATTTATTGATTCTTGTGCCAAACCATATTGTTCTGATTCTTAACTTTAGTGAAAGTGATATTGTCTGTATTATTCTGATTATAATAATTTTAGCAAAAGNAGCTTGGTTTGGGAAAAGATTGAAAAGTTGCCAGTCACTGTGGCTTTAGCACAGGTGAGAGGGCAACACCCATATAAGGTGAGGCATTAGCGAATCCCATGGGGTCTCTTGGGCCATGCTAAGGAGTTTGGAGGGTTTTTCTTTTTTTAATGCAATGGGAGGCTATTAGAGAGCTTTACGCTAGGGAGTGACATGCTCTGATTTATGTCTTACAAAGATGGCTCTAGCTGCCGTGTAGAGAATGGATTGTCGGGGAGGGGGCAGGTGCAGAGAGGCTGTAATAGGTGATGGATGACGATGACTTGGTTCGAATGGCGGCAGTGGAGAAGGAGAGGAGTGGATGAGTTTGAGATGTAATTTGGAGATGAAATTGACAGGACTTGGCAAGGAGAAGAGAGCACAGTGTTCAAGGAGAGGGAGGAGGATGGAAGTGGGGGAGGCAGGAGGCCGTGAGCCGCTTGGCTCAGCGCTGACAGAGGCCGACGAGCAGCAAGGCCGGGGCGCCTCGGCTTTTGTTTAACCCCTGAATCCCATCTTGATCCCGATGCCCCTTGTGTCTTATTACAGCAAAATGATGGACAGTTCACGGTGATCCAGCTGGTGGGGATGCTCAGGGGCATTGCCGCCGGCATGAAGTACCTGGCTGAGATGAACTATGTGCACCGGGACCTGGCTGCTAGGAACATTCTGGTCAACAGTAACCTGGTCTGCAAGGTGTCTGACTTTGGCCTTTCCCGCTATCTCCAGGATGACACCTCAGACCCCACCTACACTAGCTCCTTGGTGAGTCCTTCCTGGTATTCTCAGGTAAAAGCATGGCATGAGTAAAAGGTAGCTGCACATGTCTGGGGACCTATGGCAGGCAGGACCATACTGGGAGTGACTGGGACCTGGACTCATCTCTCCACTGAGGGAGCCAGGTTCTGGGAGAAAGATCCATCTGGGAGAACTGGGCACAGGCTGCCAGTGTCTACTCTGAAGCCGTGGTGTTTCTTGGCCAATGGGAAGAGGACATTTGGAACAGATGATCTGGGGG